GGGAAAGCAGTATAAAATGACAATACACCAGATAACTCCAATTCAATGATACTTGTTCTGATAAAATCATTCAAACGATTTGGTCATAATTAAACACAGGGTAATGTTAATAGTATTCTTGATCAAATTTCTGATTTGTTCTGCTGAAGTTATTTTGTGCAATGGATATTCTTAATTTTTACGAAATAGCTTCAACATCGTTACTAAAGTTTACACATAAGCCTTATCCACAAGTTCTAACTAGAATAAAACCGAGGTACAAAGTTACCTGGTAATTACATTCAGTTTTTAACTAATTACAGGTAGAATGTATTGAGACTAGTGACCACAGTGCAACTTAATCGATATAGTTTAGTAATAACTAAGGATTACAAATCTATGACACTGCGGACTATTAATTTAGCAATTTAAACTAGATTTCGTCAATCACTAACCACCGACTACCTCAACTTACGTCAGCTGGTGTGGAAGTTACGTTTTTAGAATGCTAGGGGCAGTCAAATATGGTATTAGTCTGTGAAGCCGCTTATTGTTAATCTAATTGATAGTGGTAGATATAGATTACCTATTTTAAGTTCGCGTGATAACGTCCACCAGTGACTGAAAACTGAATGACATGGTTTAGAATTGATCACCACTCATGCTTAGTGAACATAAGACTGGTCAATACTATTGAATAATTACTTAGCATCAGTGTAGATGTATTCCATACTCCGATAAGTTAACAAGACTCATAATTCCTGATAAAAATCATAAACACACGCGTTCATAGTTAAATGAGATCACGTAAGGTCAAAGACATTTATCTCGGTTAACAAGTTATTATTTAGTATGACCTACACGTGCTAACGTCAACCACATAACATCCGAATTATTTATTAACACTGAATAAATCTTCATACTGCATTTGGTGAAATATTTCACATTTTTACTTCACATTATGAGCCACAACTCAAAGTACTTCATTGATACTGTTATTTCAGTATAAATAATACATTTTTTACTGTAATTTATTCCATTCAATGAAACATTTGGTTTGAAGTTAGAATGATTCACTGTAGATAAACTATATAAATCTGAATATTAAAAAATGTATGAGTAAAATAGATTCTATTTATCTTTTCAGCTCAACTTAATGTTTGTGTAGAATGACAACTCAAGACTCTGAATGGACTGCTCTTCACGAACCCATAAAAGATATGGTAATAAGTCAACACAACAAACACAGTTGTTAAGGGCTATAAATTGGTCACCACTTAGGTTTTCTTATCCAGGCTCAAAAAAGAAGTGCTCGGTACCCAAGCAACCAACACTACGAAGGACCAACCAACATTGTGCGCGTAAACCGAAAAAATTCATGAAAATGCCTGAATACATTGATTTATGTGCCAATTTAAAAGGTTCATCAAAATGGGTTATACAACATCTCACTAATCAATCAAATGATATTTTTTTAAAAATCATTCTAAACAGGGAAACAAATCATGAAAATTCAACTTAGCTAATAATGTTAGGCATAAATGTATCGTTGTCTAAGCCATATTATCGAGCTAAAGTATTTTCATTTAAAGTAGGAGCGAGCTAGAACTCTAGAGTTTTTCATTTTATTTTACAATTTCTTAATATCCTTTAATATAAGTCAAATTTAATACGACCACAGTTAGAAAGAAAAAAAACTATTGGATAGCTGTAAAATTTCATTTTTCGTTTCTCACTGCATTATGGAGATTACTGGACAGTTTGAAAATACTGAATTTCCAGTAGTAAAAACTAGGATCATGTTCATTTCAAGTCACTTAGCTACTTTTCTAACTGGGAGGGATAGCAACCATGCATCAGAAAGACAAGTTGTCAAGTAAATTTGTAAGCCTTCTTTTAATATCATTAGAACTCTAGTGTTAATGAATGCAAACAAATTGTCTTAAAAATTACAGGTTGATTATGAATACAGTGGTCTTGAGTGCTGTTAGAGGTATGAGGGCGGTTATCACTTCCCAGTTGCCCACACCGTGGAAGTGTTGTCCTGGAGGTACCTGAAAAGGAAATTGGATTAGAGGTGGTCTTAGTGACCTGGGAACGTGACCGCAGTGGCCAAGGGACAACTGCTTGAGGTCGGTCACACAGGACCTTTTTATGGGTAATTTTTGTGTTAGCTCCGTACTTGTTGAGACTTTACTGCCGGATATGGATATCCGTGGGATAAGGCGAGGTGTGCATTTTTAGGGTCGACCTTTTCTAACTCCACCCCTCCTTGCGGGAACGTAGCATCGGTGTCATGATGGTTGTCTGAAGGAAACACCTTACTGCTGTCACACCTCTGTGTAGTCAGCAGTACGACTTTGCCTTCGGACCTTGGGTTTGTTGCTTTTAGTCTTACCGCTCTTCAACCGACCTTTCTGACATGGTAGGACTTTGAGGAACGGTTGTTCCAGGCAGTACAGCTCGGTTGCTTCATCACGATAGGCTAGCCCGACCACCACGTCAAGGTAGCAACAACGGTCGGATGTCTTAAAAATAGCAACTCTTCATTGAGACTTACAAACGACTAAAAATTTATTGCTTAAAAAATTACTTACAATAATTGGTAATGAGTTTCTGAGGTTTTTAACACTATGATGCACTAAAGGTTTTATTAATCAAGAAACGACTGGTGAATTTAAAAGCTAGGTAGACTTTACTGAAAATGTCCAACAACCCTTGTTTGTAGATATTTTCGTCACATACGATTAGGATGGAATACCGATGATGGGCTCCTCCATGTGTGTATACCAGTTCAACTGCTCCTGTGGAGCTAGTTACATACACCGTACTCGAAGGGCTTTATCCTTGTGTGTTCGTGAATATGTACCAGCATGGTTGGGAAAAGGAGTCACTAAGTCGACCAACAGCAGTATCATTTCTCACTTGGTAAATAGCGAACATCACGTCAAGATAGATGAAGCTTTCTCTGTCTTATACCAAATTCCAAAAAAGCTACCTCAATGTCCTAGACTACGGTTAGTGTACATAGCCAACACCATCTGGATCAACTCCCGAAAACCAGAAAAAGTATATCCAGCCTCTATGTTTACCTTGGCCTACGACTAGATCACCGGATACCTAAATTGAATATTAAAAACCTCTTACGCTCTCCCCTTTTTTTGATTAGATCTATCTTAATCTTCACATCCATCGTTCCCAATTCACAAGAATCCTTTTTTGTTTATCGTAATTACCCTGATAATACCCCTCTTATTACATGTTAAATTCACACAACAATATAATTATTGTTATTATTATATTACTATTATCATTATTATCACAATTGACAAGATGAAATTCTCTTACTATGCATTTTATTCACACGACTTTTTTAATCACTATTCTACTGATTGTGACCGGACACTTTACTCCAAATCATTCTGACCATTATTAAATGACCTTTCTAATTTTCAAATAACACAATTTTGAAGTATTTATATCGTAATATATGCAAACGTTCACCATTTTTAACATATAATATTGTCAAATTCCATAGTACATGCCTTATTTTGGCCTTCGTTAAATATCATAATTATGGACTTATAACTGTAGAGCCTGATGATGAAGTTATTGAAAACAATTGTTCGCTCAAATATTTTTCATTTTTGAATATTCTATGGGGATTTTTAAACTGCTGATATTTATTTTGCGCGATCTTAAGTCTTTGGAAGAGTTAACTCTTCGTATATTATCTCTATCACTTATTTCTTTACTGTAAATTTGAATGTTTGTTTCCAGCCGTCAAAATTCTCTATATGCAGCTTTCTGTAAATTTGCAGTGAACAAAGACGAATTTCCTTTACTGATTTAATATTCATCGAATGTGGTAGTTTTTCGTCCTACTCTCAGGCAAATAATTTGTTTGATGGAAACTCTGACAAAATGCAAAAGTCTTATGATCACCTTGAGCAATAATACAGGCATATTTCTTCATCCTTGAATGTAAGACATTGCTTCGCAGCTGATCTTTGTTTATCGTAGAACTAATAACAGAAGGTGGAGTAGTTAGGCGTTTTGACAGCTTTATTTATCCTGAAAGCTTTGTCAGCCCTGGTGGATTGCAGCCTGACGAAGTCTGGGGACACTATCAAAAAGTCCAACCCGCTTTTGAAATCATGCGTCACTTGTGGCAAAAGTGAGATGACTGATCACCATTTAGAGGACGAGTATCATGAGCAGTAGCTCACTGTTTTCCAATTTATAGTTGTGAAATACGCTCTACGAAAATAGGAGATATGTATAAGCTGAAATCTTATGATTATGGGTGTTTCCGAATCATTGCTGGCGTTTCATGAAACAAAAGAAGCGAGAAGTGTTGAGGCTAAGTATGGGGTTCTAAGTAAAGGTGGCAAATTGGTTGATGAGACTGTGAATCTCCGCCGAATGAGGTGGCTAGGATGTATGGCACGTAGGTCAAACCACCACCTACCTCGACAAGCCATGCTTATTAGTGCAAAACATAGATTGTAAGGAAGCTGAAAAGTGACCAAACTAGAAAGTGGAGTGAGTTTCTGAAGTTGCTGACTGATGGGATGAGCAGTGTTGGTCGGACAAAACCACTGAGTTAGGTTTCACACACTCAATATTACACCACTCACTTAATAAATCTGTAGACAGACAAAAACCTCAACTAACTAATATCTAATCACAAATACAAGAACATACTATACAGTTTCTACAGGAAAAGTAACCTAATGAATTAAAAAGACAAAATAAGATAAGATATGGCAATATTAAAGAGCAATAATTATTGTTCTATAAAATATCTTCATCACGTATAAACTAGAATAAACGACCAATAAACAATAGTAATATTTAAGTATAAACAAAAGGTCAAAGTAACAAATAAACAGACTAAACTGTGTCTAGTGTGAACTAAAATTTTGTCTATAAAAAAATTTAGAAATAAATTCGCACTTATATTTTTTTATTCCAACCGCTGACGTTGTTTATTTCTAAGTGTTTATTTATACACATGTTTAACAATATTCGGGGAATAACGCTTTGAGTTGAGCTTCTGTATTTTCCGGTGACGTAACAGTATGTCCGATGGTTCGTGGGTCATTGAATATTTCGTAATCATTTCCACCCTGAGAATACAGAATTATTAAAAGTAAAAAGCAATAATACACTGTATAATGCGAAGTAAACCAAAGACACATGTAAGATGATTGGTCAATATTATGACAAGAAGCCCAGTAATCTGTATCTACTGTTTTGAGGGAAAATAACTACCCTCACAAAGCTTATAAACGTATCAGTCAGTGTCCATTGGAGACGTTACCATTGAGTTACTTGTAGGTATCGATACCAAGGTTGAACGTGATAGTTTCATATAAATTGAGAATTGGTTGGAAAGTTGATTATAAATATATTTTTGTGATGTTACCAATGAGTAGATAATTGTATTTCTGACGTTCCGTGACTTAATGTAAGTCACTTATTCAGAATTAAGTGACTGATATTATGTCATTCAGAAATACAATTTTAAACTCAGTGGGATATCACAAATATATATTTATTATTGAATTATCTGGTTATCGTTGGTCATTAATCCGAAAATATATGAAAAATATCCTCAGATTTCGTTAGATTTCTTTATGAACATTTCGTTCCATGTATTGTATCATCTGTGTGAAGACTATTAATTGTATTATTATCCTCCTATTTTTACATTTCAATCTAGTTTGACTTTGTTTAAGTATACATTATATTTCGATAAATACAGGATATAAAAGTTTTCACTTGTGTGTTTTTAAACAGTGGACAAATAAAAAGGATCATAAAAACGTAATTACTAATTGTATACAAATTTGTTTAATTGTGACAGTCATGCACAAAAATACGAAGGCATGAAATATGTCAACACCCATTAATTTTAATGCTTTTACCTCTTTTGTTTTGTCACCAAAGAAATGTATAGTATCGTAATCTTTCAGGAATTGTAAACAGTATCGTTTGTCCCAACCTTTTGGAAAAACATCAATACTAATTTGTCCACCTACAAAAGAAATGTAAACAAACTATATGATTACAAGTGTTCCTTAATATCATAAAACAATGTAATACAATACTGAAATGTATCGGGTGATCAGTGGCTTAGATGATAACAAAGCATTTAGCTATGAAGTGTTAAAAAACAAGGTCAAATCCTTTTTCACCTACTTCGATTTAGAGATAAATGCAGTCACAGAAAATTGAGAACTAGATAACATCGAGAAAATGAAATTCGGTAGCGATGCTTGCCTAAGACTTGAGCATATATAGGAAACCATTAGTGTTTAAGCGTTCAGGTGCAGATGTCATCCTTAAACAACTAAGTAATGGTCGACCTTTTCAACTTCAGTTAACTCGTGATATTCGATGATAATCATTCACTATCATAAGTGATATTTGTCTCAAGAGTAGCAGAATTTGGATCTGAGGCCTAATGATTATATCAAAACATTCAACACTGACTCATCATTCTGTATCCTCAACTTTAAGCCTTACTCTATGTTTAAAAACAAGTGTGCATAGGGCGACTGACATTAACCTATCTTTTTTAACAACTATATATACTGTGTAGAGTAGAAACGTGTCCCGATATATGTTCATCCCAGGTTTTTACTTTCTAAATAACCGGCTGACTGTATGAATTAGCTTACCTATAGCGAACTCTAAAGGACTTGAATGAAATTCCGAACGCATTTTCATGACGAAATCTTCGCGAATTTTATGTTTCTAAAGCAAAAAAAAATAGAACGGTCGAAAACATTCATCCCATTACCATATCATCGATAGGTGGTGATATAAATGCGCTTAGGGAAAAAGACCAAATTATTGACAGATTATACTAGTAATGGCATAGATGTTGTCCACATTAATTCATTTGAAAACATTGTTAGTGAGAGCTAAAAAGATGAGATGATATCTAACATCAAGAATTCACTCATATAATTGAATAAAAAATTTCTGATCATAAATCGTATCTTAGGGTGTAGACAAAGTTTGTCTAAATAGACGATTCAATAATATCAATCTGGTCTGAACATTTGGTTCTTAAGTTCTCTTACAAAGCACGAAGGCTAAGTGGAATGTACTAAAACCAGAAGCAGTTCGTACCATTAATAAAACTTGATGCATGTACCAGATTCACAGGTAAAATCATATTGTTAATTGCTGTGAGATGCAACCATACTTTTATAACGAGGTATTAGGAAAGACTATCTTTAAGAAATGATTTGTTACTACTGTTCCATAAATGTTACATGACGGGAAATCCTGAATAAAGTGTACAATAACAATTTTATTTTACTTCAATTTTAGTCATACGCACAGGTTAAGTAGACAAGCAACAGCAGCTAACTTTTTTATGTTACTAGGGTGCAACTGTAATATAATATGTATCGATAAGAAATATGAATCACCTGCACATTTACAGAGAAACACCGTGCTCCCTTAAATTGTACAAGAACCTGTGAAACAAGTGGACAAATTACGATACTTCTATCGATTTAGAAGTTTGACAATAAGACTTAAGGAAAACTGTTGGACAGCCGATTGTGAAAGGCCTATTTTGCAATATGTAAAGAACGATTACATATTTTCAGTGAATATTAATCATTCTTACCGCATCATATTTAGCAAATTCATCTCGTTCTTCCTGACTACAGCTTCGTCCAACTGGACACACATTTATCAAACCATTTCTGAATTCAATAAAATTTCCTCTTTTCCTCGGAAGCCAGAGGTTTGACATATACTGGAGACAGAAATTGATGAAACGTTGAAGGATTTCCTCACCAACATGCTCAATAATATTCTGAAATGAAATTACATCGAAGAAAACTTGGTTACATACTGTGCTTTTAATTTTCTGACCATAACTGTGTACTACCAAACCATTTTCAGAGAATATATATGAAAATTTTTCGGTAGCTTCATGCGTAAATTAAAAGCGTTATTTATAAAAATTCTTACCGAGTGTCCCAATCTGTGAAGAAACCTTCTGGAAATCGGAACCACTAACCACAGCCAAGGGAATATTAGAGCACAATTTAAGCAAACATTCAGTCATATGATCGGATATAATATTGCGTGGCTTTGTAAGTGTTCCATCAACGTCAAACAGGCATATTACTTTTTTGTTCATAGTAAACAAACAACTAATAAAACGGTTAATAGAATATTATTTTTATAACGATTTAAAAGTAGATATGAAGGTTTACAGAACATACAATTCGAAGCAAATCAATTCAAGCGACTTATCTCTGATTCTATGAGGTGAATTCGAAATTTCTATATCTTTAGTCATTCTACGACAAATGTCCAATTCTAAGTCTTTTTTTTCATTTTTACATATGGTTTTATAAGCAAAAGGCTTTTAGCATCCGCGAAGTGTTCAGTAGGAAATTTTGAAGTATAGAAAACAACAAAGAAATTAAGACTGTTCCCAGAACAACTAAGAGGAAGCAAGAAATAGCAGACAGTCCTGATAATTAGATCGGATGATCAAACCGGGTGGTTAAAAGAACAGATCTTTTATATCAACAGATACACGTGTATCTATTTAAGTAGATCCAATAAAGAAAAAGACTAGAAGACCGGTAATATTAAAGGAACTTGTATAAACGAATATCATTGTATAAAATAATGGTCACTTATGTCTTAAAGCTCATATAATAGAGCTTATCTGAAGGATAAGATTTATATTGATATGAATAGAGATTCGACTAAGGACGATACTATGATATCTAACTTAAGTTTATATATCAAGTACTATATACTTATTAGAGTCTATTATATGTTTATTATTTTTCTAATAAGTTTAGCTAGAATCCCTTGGAGTTATAAAGAAGAACGATTAATTAATCATTGAAATATTTATTTGGTGATATGACGTGTCGATTTAACTCTACGAATGAACCGTTTCCTATGATGCTAAAATAAATTTTGAAACATGCAGTGTAAATTCGGAGAAACTATAATTTATGGACGAACCAACCAGGTATAATTTGACGGGTATAAGGTATTGGCGTGAAATTCACTCATCCATTTACCTTAGTACGGTTTTGACATTAAAGCTGATGTCAGTTCGTTATGAAAACCCTAAATCTGATTTGTAATCTTAACCCTAAAATGTAAACCTGCATTCTAATTCCTTACACCAATTTATAACCCTCGTTTGGTCGTAGACAGTTGAAAACTCTCAGTGTCATTCCCGATACGCACAAATCCAATCCATAATTTATAGTTTCACCGAAAGTGCTATAATTCAGTAAACAATGACACTTCCATTTCAAATTCGAAAGGAGCAGCAAAACTGTCATTTTCCAGAACACTTTGTGACGCAACTCATCACAATAAATAATGACGCTGACTACGTAGCTAACAGTAACCTTGGGAAACCCAAATAAGCACGGGGAAAATAGTTACTTTGTGGATTGTTAAAACACAAAAAACAATGTCTTATATTTCTCGAAATATAAAAATATTCGATTAATTCATCATTGTTCACCCATTTTCATCATTCAATTTACAATTTTCTTTGTCAGATGGCCATGTGACGACTTGGTGTAAAGTGGTCGTTAACTTTTCCGTTAAAATTTTAGTTATTGTTCAAACATTAGTTATGAAAACTCATGAACAGCAGCGTTTTTGAGCTTGAGACAAAGGTTTTCTGTACGATGTTGATGCTTGGAGTTGTAGTGACCGACTTTTATCGAGAGGAAGCGGATGGTTTAATGGAAACAATAATTATTATAACCAATTGCACCGGTTACCGTTTTATTGTACTTGTTCGTTTAACTGTAATAAAGACATTTTCACCTTGCACAAATTTGGTTACTCTCAGTAACCACACTTGAAACCTGGCACGAAATCTGTATTCTTTTGATACCAAGAGTTCGCCAAGAAATACACCTCGACTACAGCGATCAACTGCCTTCTGATATTTGGCTTAAGGAGGATCTTGACGGTTAGGTTGCACGTGGTCTGCCTGTGGTGGTGATCATAGTCAACCGCGACTCCAAGCCACACTACAGAGTCTTTCCCCAAGCCTAAACATGCCACCGTTAGTATAAGGACGTTTGAAATTCCCGTTCAGCTCATACCAGAGCATCTTGCCCATTTTGTTTTGCAAACTGGGTAGGGTGTCAGTGCTGACTTTAAATGCCTAAGGTATGAGAGAATCATTAGAACCCGTGATTGAATTTCCAAGTTTTAGGGTGTGTTGATTCGTGGGTCCTTTTATGTTTGGAAATTGATTTACGTTTAGAATTCCGTGCTCTTTGCTAACTGAATGGATAATCTTGGAGGTAGATTGCATAGCTAATTCATTAATTGAGTGTCCTACAGGACCTAAGCTTTTCAGCATTTTGACAGTGATAGACAATCATTTTTAACGTTGCTGAATGGGTCTTGTCGTCTACAGAATTTTCGGGGTTCACAGAAATGTCTAGGGAGCCAGTGATGGAGAACACAAATATGCTGAAAGAATCCAACACAAAAGATGTCACAGAATACTCAAGTTTTAGCGTAGCCTCACAAATGTCGATGCGTTTTGCGTGAATACTATTGTTGTCGAAGACCCATTCAGAATTGCTTTTCTTAGGTTGCTGACTATGTTTTCCGCAGACATAACAACAGAATGATTATTTTGCATAAAAAATCCCTAGCAGTCATATTTCATGTACGTCCATACCCAATTACAATCGGACTTATTTAGGTTATCGTGCGCAACGTCTGTGAGATTTGTGAATTTGTCACACTGTGCATCACAGATGACGGCGACGTGGCATCCAGGTCGAGTAAATGAGTTCTTCACAACAATTGTGAAATATGAGTTGTAGGATAGGTCCTAGCAAAACTTTACTAGCGTAATGCAGTGCGCGTGGAATCAGTATATAAAGAAATGCACAAGCTCAACAATTTAAGACCGTTTGAAACAAATACAGATGGATCGTACTCACTATCTGATAAAGTAATATTGACACAGTAGATGGGTAATAATTACAGATTTGAAGCCTTATCTAAATCCCTGCTTTCGAACTTTTGGATTCTGTACTTACAGTCGACACCCTGAAAGTGTTGTGCCATCTGAATTCGGAGACATCAATAGTTTTAGATAAATATGTATACTTATTAAATGTGTCAACTCCCTAAATGATTTAGATTTACTAAGCTTTGAACAGTCAAGTGGCTAGAACGCCGTTAACAAACAATCGCAATTCCAAGATGTTAGTTAAAATTTGATTTTGAGGGAAGCAGATATTATGCAGACTTTTAAACAAACAGAACGGCGAAGCTCAATCCTGTGGAGCAATCCTAATGGTACCATAAATCCTGATGAGCCATCGCGTCACAAGTGTGTGCTATAAAAACTTTGATTCCATCGCTATGATGAATTTGGGAGTCTAACTGAATCACCTGGTTTATAATAAGTTATCCTAAAGATATTGGATGTTGGAAAATCGTTTGTACACTAACTATATACTGTCAGTAAATAGCGCAGTCTTCAAACGTCTGGTAACAGGAAGCTATGAGGTCATATTATTTAGCTGTTACACTGTTAGTATGTAAGTGTGAGATATGATCAGGTTTATACTTAAGTATTTGTAAATTATGAAACTGAGGGAACCTGTGAAATTCCTGCGAAATATGTGAAAACTCTGTTTTCTATTGAAAATGGGAAGGAAACAACTACTCAAATCCTGAAATCACAACTTATACAAACTTTAGAAAGTTTATGGGGATCATGTCATATGATAGTGTCTGAAAATACAAATTCAGATGCTGTAGAGGATATCGTTGTTGTTTATAAAAACATGTAAGTTATTCGTCAAAATAATTTTACACCATTCAGGACGAAAGATTGCTTTTTTTGCTACGATTTCATATTCAGAAGTCCAAATGTTATACAGTATAGACGAAGTATGTGCTTTTCAACAAAAATATATGGTTTTGATTTCAGGTCAATGTCAAAGACCTGAATTCGGATCAAATGAATCTACTATATGTGGATCACTTGCTACATCGGAATTAGAGACGGGCTTCGTTCGTTCTCGTGAGGATTACTCGGATTTTAATTGTAAAAGCATTATTGAGGGCGTTTTCGCATTTGACTACCGAATTGTTGGAAGTACTGGATTATGCAGTAGTCCTTTTAGTTTAATAAAAGCATGTCAAAGACAAGGGTCTCCGCTTAGAGATAATTCCATCTTAGAACAGACGTTTGGTTACTGCCCAAACTTTCAAGATCAGTCGATCCTTGAAGATCCCAATATAGTTTTTGGAAAAGCAAATATTTGGCGATGTTATGGACGCTGGACAGATAAAAGTGGAACTATTTGGGCTGCAATTGCTTATGATACTAACCAGCTGAGATTCCGATACCGGTGTTTAACTACACGTATTGATCAACAAAATCCTCAAGATATATATTATTGGGGTAAGTTGGTGGTGGAACTCAAAATTAGAGTAGACTTTCAAAATTTCTTTTTTACAGATTAAGAGTAACGTTTTGCGCCTTCGACTTTGACAGGTGTTGTTTAGCCATTCAAGTCTATTCGAATCCTTTTCATAATTAGAAGACCTTAGCACTGACAATTGTAGATAGAAATATACAATGAATTTGGGTTGCAATTCGCTTTCCCACGCTGTTTCCAACCTTCCACTATGCGAACATTGGGTTACTATAACTACTGCAAGATAAAATCCTTGCTAGTTTGACCAACTTCAGTCTAGCGTTTAATACTCTATCAAAAGTATTTGTCAGTTACTCATAATACTGAGTGATTATTAGGCTTCAATCAATGTGCTAACTGAACCAAGGCTATAAAAGATTGATGCTATGACTTAGTTAATTAAAAATGGGTATATACAAAACAGTATACCGAGACTTTATTAATAATTTTAAGATCATTTTAAGAAGATTTGATATATATTAAATGGTTAGTTACAAGTAGAATCGTTCTACTGGTAGCTTTATAGGTAAAATAGACACTGTCTTAGAAGGTTAAGGATACCTGATATAACTCATTTATGGGCTTTAGATTGAGATAAAATGTATTTCTAATACAAGAGTACTATTTGTATCACAATGGCTTCAGCTGTTGGTTATTACAATGTCAATAACCCGGGTTGTCAATTCTG